AATCATGGCAGTTTCTTAATGGATAATAAAAAAATTTTTAAGGAATTTTTTCTTAATTATAAAAATAGAAAGCTTGAAAATATTACAATTGCCCCACTGCTCCTTGACCCAGAATTAACCACTGTTAATTGTTGTTTTATTTTCTGTTTGTGTGTAGGCACATATGCATGCAGGCTTTGTACATTATATATACATATACATACATATGTATACAGTATTATGGCTTGCTTTGTTTCCCATTCGCTCTCTGGAGAATTCTCCTATATCTTTAAATTTTCTTCACAAATTTAACTACTAATAGCTCTTACTCCTATTCTCCCATTAAGATGTACTTGAACCCCATCTAAAGAGGTTTGCAGACTTCTTCTGTGAAGGGCCAGATAATAAGTATTTAGGTTTTATAGGCCACATGGTCTCTATTGCAACTATTCAGCTCTGCCATTGAGCACAAAAACAGTCTTAGGCATTATAAAAACAAATGTGCATGATTTGTGTTTTAATACTTTACTTACCAATCAGACATAGGGTGTAGTTTGCCTGTCTGAGCTAAAGACTTGCTAAGCCTAATTCTTATATCTTGCAGAAAAAAAACGACAGTTTGAAATGAAAAGGAAACTTCACTACAATGAAGGACTGAATATTAAACTAGCTAGGCAGTTAATTTCAAAAGACCTACATGATGATGATGAAGATGAAGAAATGTCAGAGACTGCAGCTGAAGAAAGCATGAAAATGGAAGAATCAAGTCAAGGTTAGATGTTTCTAAAATACCACTGAGACTTCTGTGATCCTTTGTGCCTAAATAATACTTCACTTGAAACTTTTGAAAATTTTGCTGAGATTCATTCATTATGCCAAAAGTTTCTAAAATTTCAACCCTTGTGACTTGTTTCAAAATAAAGTTTTTATGCCCAGAGTTGCTTTGGTTTAAGACCATGTTATATTATATGGTTATATTTTGTTGATTACTTGGTGTAAGTCCAGAGGAAGGAAATCCCGGGGCAAAATACCTCTAAAAACCAAAACCAGTCCAAGGGAGAAATAAAGTTTAAAACCTGTTTATTGTTCACAAACTGCAGTCCCAGGCCATCTTTCTTCTCTGCTCAAGCAACCACAACACCGGCCCTCCCCTTCACATCTCAGGTACAGATAAGCCCTCAGTTGCCCAGGTAATCATCCATTGATATGGAGATGAACTTCTCCACCCCTGAGGAAAGATGCAAATGCACTAAAGCCATACTTCTTTCCACCTCTTAACTCCTACTGATATGCAGATATACTAAAGCCAGGCGAGATATTGGAAATGCTACAATTTTACCCACAATCCACCCTTCCAGAAATCTCGCCTTACAATTTACTCAATCCCCCTCTTCCAACCAATCTAGTAACATGCAATAGCAACAGCAATAAAATCTTGATAATCCTCAAGCGAGAGGATTCAGCCTATGCATATTAAGCAAATGTACTTTACAGCACAATCCTCACTAAGCACAAAATACATTTCTACACTTGTTTACTCATTCCTAACAGTCATGCTAGATTACTCACAAAACTTGTACCAAATATTAGAACAAACTCAAGCCTCTCTTTAAACATTATTTTCTTGACAACAGCAACACAATCATAATTCTCAAGCCAGAGAATTCAGCTAGGTTACTTTACAGCACAATCTCACTAAGCACAAAAATACGTTTCTACATTTGTTTACTCACTCCTAACAATCATGCTAGATTGCTCACAAAACTTTTACCAAACATTAGACAAAGTCAAGCCTCTCTTTAAGCATTATTTTCTTGACAACAGCAACACAATCATAATTCTCAAGCCAGAGGATTAGGTTCAAAGTCCCATGCAGATTAAGTCCAAAGCTTGTCCATTCCTGCCATCATGTGGCAGCTGCAGCCAGGGGGCACATCCAGGACACAAAGACCAAGGAAGCAAATAACTGTGATTGTCGGGGGGCCAATTTGCTGTAATTACAGGAATACACAGAAGGCCAGCTTCCAGGCCTCTTCCCCAAGGTGCCAGAAGAGCCAGCCATCGCCGATCCAGCTGTTGAAATGTCCAGGGTCACATCCATTTTACTCCTAATTGCTGCACCCATCCTTGCAACACATGTCCAATAAAGTGGGTGGTCCAGTCTCGCACCCACCCCGCAATGGGATAGGTGGTTATTACCTTGGTTGGAGCTGTTCTGGCAATGTGCTCTGTAGCCAGCAAGGTGTGGTACACAGCAGCCAGTTGCTTCAAGGTGACCCGGACCTCTGCTCCTTTCCATGGTTGTGGCCAGGCTCCGCCGGCAGCAAGAGCAGCAGCAGTGGTAGAAGCAGTAGCCTTAGGCTCGGGCAACGGGCCGGGGTCGGTGTGGCCAGCAGTGGTGGTGGCGCCTCCACAACCACATGAGTGTAGACACATGTCCCTCGGCATGAGTGCCACTTCTCCCCATCATTTCTAGGGGCGGCCCTCCCAAAGGTCGCACCCATTATAATAAATTTTGGGTTCAGAGGAATCCCGCCGACTACGCCAATAGTAAGACCGGGGAAAGGAAATCCTGGGGCAAAATACCTCTAAAAACCAAAATCAGTCCAAGGGAGAAATAAAGTTTAAAACCCGTTTATTGCTCACAAACTGCAGTCCCAGAACCGACTTTCTTCTCTGCTCAAGCAACCACAACACTGGCCCTCCCCATCACCTCACAGGTACAGATAAGCCCTCTGTTGCCCAGGTAATCACCCATTGATATGGAGATGAACTCCACCCCTGAGGAAAGATGCAAATGCACTAAAGCCATACTTCTTTCCACCTCTGAACACCTATTGGTATGCAGATATACTAAAGCCAGGTGAGATATTCTGGAAATACTACAATTTTACCCACACTTGGCTTTAAGCAGTGATGTTTGTCTTCATATTGTTATATTTTATTTTCAGATCATATTTTGTCATGACAGTTTAAGATTTGAACTTTTATGAAGTAACATGTTTTTAATGTGGAAGATTTGTTTTAACCTCTCTTCAGATAAAAAGTATGTCATATCTTTCCAATGTTGGTTCTTTTGACTATTGGATTGACAAGTTATTTGGCAGACTTTGGTTTGTTTTTAAATCTTGGACAACCAGCCCCTGCAGCCTACCAACCCTTGATCAGCCATAGGAAATAGATTTTATGTATTTATTTTTAATAAACTACTACTCTGGAATCAAATGAAGGTAGATCTTCAGCACCACTAATGTGGATAGTGTGCCCACTCACCTGCTCTCTGTACTTGCAAACTGATGCTTGTTAGTGGATATATGTAGTTATTTGTAGTCATTTGAATGGGTAAGTCTTAGGAAAGTAAATAATGATATTATTATTATTTTGGTGAGCATATATAATATATGAGTGATTCTATGATACAACCAGATGGTTCTGTCTCATTCTGATGTCAGGATTATAATATTTTTTGTTATCCCACTTTTAGCCTTTACATTTGTTTCATACAGCATTTCATTTCCACTTTATAAACCAGTCTTTTTAGTTTATATTTAACTTGAATAAACTTCATTTCATATTATGTGTCTCTCTGTTCCTCTTTTTAAATGTATCCATTTTTAGGTGACCTATCTCCTAATTGGTCTTTTTTCCCCATTTACTTATATCTTGGTGATTTCTTTTTAGGTTTCAAAGTGAGTGTTTCTTTGGTTATAACTTTTCATCAATTTCTACTCAGACATTCAATAGCAATACTTAGTGACTCTGGCAAAGCACCAGAAGTACCCCTCATTTGCCACTGGAAATGTGTACCAGCACCACTGTGCCAAAGAGTAAAGGGAGTTCTTTTTTAAGCCATGACTTTTGAAAAATAACTCTGGCCTTTTGTCTGTCTCTGTAAGACATTAGATTTCATGCATTTAGTACACAAATACATTTTTTAAGTTTAATTTTTTAAGTTTTTTAAGTTTAAATTTTAACTTAAAATTTGTGTTAGCTCAGTGGCTGGTTTTTCTTCAGTGGAGATGAAGTACTCCTTACATAGGAGTATATCCTACTTAGCCTTAGAAGTAAAGCCCACAGAATAGAAAAAAGTATACAGTAAGGCATAGGGAAGTGAGCTCTTTATTAATCCTCTACTCTTTTCGGGCCCTTAAAAAATCCTACCAGCTTTTAAAATCTCTAGGTTCTATGTAACCCATTACTTATTGAGCATTGTCATTTACCTTCCTGACCCCATCTATCCTAACCTCTTTTATTACTGAGCATGTTTAGACTCCGAGGAAATATTTTGTCATTTTGAGATTATAAAAGTAAATGTTGTTATAACTTTGGATATTTGAACTCTTAACTATCCACTTTGTGATTTAGTCACATAAATATCCAATCTGAAACTTATTTATCTGATTGTCAAGTAGATACTCCTCTTTTTTATAATGTTTAGGGGTATACTGATTCTTTCATATCAGAGTAATTAGCCTACATGAAATATACCTTACTTGTTTTCTAGATCTTAATATTTGTTTATCATTTATGGCAGTGGAATAGAACGTTAGCTCAGGTAGTTCCAAGGTTGGTAGTACACAACAAATTATGTTGACCTTTTTTCTTTTACCTTTGTAGGATCTACCAGTGACCAACTGCAAAACAAATCACAGACTTCATAGAGGAGATTTGTTCAACACTTATAACTGTCAGATGCAAACCCTGTTACTGTAATACACTGCTTGTTGTTCTACAGTTCATGACTTGAGTACCAAAATGTATACCAGTTATTATATATTGCCAAGAACTAACTTTAGAGACTAATTAGACTCAGAATGCCTAATTGATACGTATATTCTTGTGCCTAGTACTTCACCACAAATACAGCATATCACCAGTCCAAAACTACATTACTTTTATAAGAACACTGGTTCATCTGTATAAGGTATTATATAGCTTTTTATGCTTTAGAGTTTAAATAATATCTTTTGGGGGGGATGATCTAATTTATTTTCTTCACTTCTAGATGTGATAGTTCTTATAAATTTTTTTAAATCAAAATCCAGGCTGATAAATATTCAGTCCAAAAAGTATTTTATCTGTGTCTTCAACTTGGCTTATCTAACTGAAAAGGATTATAAGACTTAACTGATGCATTTTCTGGTCTATTACCTTTAAAATTCCTGTTGAGCTTCTTTATGTTTACAAGGAAAGGATTGAACATTTTTTCATCAAAACTAGCTTTTTTCACAAATAAATTATCTAGTTAAACTTGCATTAACATCTGCTTTTTATTGTATACTCGATGGGCAGACTTAAGATCAGTTTTTAAAATATAACTGTATACAGTCTCAGCATCCCTTTCCTGTACCTATCTTAACCTCCTGCCTTTGTTTTTGTAACTCCTTTCCACACATACACATACATACCTTTACCTTTATAAAGACTGTCATGACAACATTAGGAACTCTTCCTTCTCTCACATATCCTATCATTTGCTGCAACAATGAAATTCTTATTTTGACTATCAATGCCTATTAGTTCTTCTAATACATAGAGGAAATAAATTGAATAGCATTACTATAGGCAGGAAATACAATTCAGCTGCAGAATTTCTATATCTGACTTACAGTTTGCTAATTAATTATTATTCATTTATTATTTGACTTAGACCTTAGAAAACAACCCACCAAGGTGGGTTTTTTTGTGTGATGAGAGAATTGTGTGTAAACAGTGATATGATTGATAGTCCCTGCATGTACAGACTGAAAGTGTGATTCTGAACACTTTTTAATTTAAAAACTTTAAATATCCCCTGCTTTAAGGGCATATGATAATGTATACTATGAGAAATGTACCTTATTCTTTTAACACAGTAACATTTGGATTTTTTTCCTGAAATGAAGTTCATTTCCTGTGTGTCTTGATTTAGTGATGGTTTCATTTCTAGTCAATTATTTGTATCTTACTTTTTTGTTAGTATTCCAAGAATCTATTATATGAACAGGCTTTTTAAATAATTTCTGTATATTGTATATATGAAATGGCTTTTATTGAACGGAGTATCTTCCACTTGCAAGTTTATGAAAATAATAGCATGTCAGAATAAGTAAGTGGGAGCATTCTTTGTTAGAAGAATGTGCTTGTTATCTTGAATGTCTTTTTTTTTAAACAGGATCCAATCAAAGTACTTCTGAACTGCTCTATCTAAATCATATTGCCTAGTAATACAGTAGCACTGATTTATAAACAATCTTTATCTCTGCTCTCTGAATTTAGAATGTTGAGGTATTCTTACCTGTTGAAACCCATTTTGGGGGATTTAAGCTTGTATATTTATGTGCACATATGTTCATGCATGCAGACCTCTGTTTTTGGTGTTCTCGTTTTGAGTTCTTACAAAATATCCACATACGCTACTTGTGGAAATAGCTGCTGTACAGTGAAGAAAAGGTAAGACCTTTAACACAGTCTTTTGGTGTTTCTACTATTTCTTAAAACTTATGTCACCAGCAAACTGATTTCAGGAAGTAGTTATCTCAGAGGAGTAAGATATGGCAAATAGGATTTTAGGTAGTAACTAAGTAAAACTGTTTTCATCAAGTCATGAGTTCCTAATTGACACAGTACTGGACTAAAAAAAATGAACCTTTATGATTCAAGTTAGATTTTCATTTGGAGCAGGTTATCCTTCAATGTTCACTTCTAGCTAAGGTAGATTTTACTTTCAACTTTTTAATCAATTTTACTTCTACTTAACTCTTCTGGTGTCATCTTTTCTGTTTATTCATTTTTCAGTCTGAAATTCAGCAGTGATGTTCTTTTTAAAGCTGAGACATATAATGATATAAATGGATTGTTAAAATAATAACTAAATTGAAGGTTAAAGCAAAGGGCCGTTTTTCCCTAGACTTCCCTTTTGTTTACATTTTTCCCCTTTTAGTACAATAAAGCATAGTAATATGACAGTTGGCTGTGTGTGGATTTTATTTCTTTTGCTACTCAGCTATCTCAGGACCACATTCCATGGGTCAGGTTTTCAGATACAAGGGGAGGATTTTGGACTACTACATTGTGGCAGAGTAATTTCTTTAGTTGTGATAGAAATGATAAGAGCTACCTATTATTTGCCCTTGCCAAACATTGTGCTAGGTTTCTAGTATCCTCAAAACAGCCACAACAAAGCAGGTATTCTTATCAACGCTTTGATGTGAGGAAAATGCTCTTGGCCAAGTTACTTATTCTCAGTGTCTTATACATACTAAATGACCAGATCTAACAAATTTCATGCTCTTTGTCCATGCTTTTAGATGTAGAAAATTTTCTCATTTTAGAAGTACACACATGTGCTTTAGAAGTAACATTCATCAAGTGTTTAGTTTGAGATTTTCTTCAGTCTGAAAAATTGGAAGTATATTTTGTTTGAGACGTAAATGCCATTTAGGAAAAATCTCAAAAGCACAAATAATCAGTGGCTGGAGGTGTCTAAATGCATGTGATTTGGCTGTTGTACAAGTTTGCTGTTGTAGGATGTTTCAAACTCACAACCTAATTTTTCCATAGAATTAGTATTAAAAAGAAGTACAAAGCTAGCCAATAAAAACAATGTACCTAAACCAGCATTTCCTAGTGTGTTACATGAAACCTTCATCCTGTAAGATGTTCCATGAAAAAGGATTACATGAGCAATAAGCTTTGCACATGCCATATTCTTTATTCCTCTACCCCACTGGAGACTTACAATGCACATCATCATATTTAAGAGTTTGAGAGATCCTGTGTAAACCTGTTTACAATAGCTTCATGTAGCAATTTTAAACATTTCGCCAAACTACTACCTTCCTCTCAAATAGGGGTAGGAGAATGGGTTAGAGTTTCTAATATATGAAAGTAGAATTTTCTCCAAAAATTGAGAAACACTGTAAGAGTAAAGATGTTAGCAATAACTGCACATTATTTATGGCATGTGTATAATCTGCCAAACAGAAGACTTCAATTTCTGCTTACTTATGCAAGAAACTGAAATACATACCAGGACAAATGAGGGTGTAGTTCATGTGGTTGGTGATAAGCTGCTATGGTTTAGTATTGACTAGTGCTCAAAGACTTGCTCCAAGCAGTTTTCCAAAATGTCTTGTCCTCCCCATCAGCTCTTGCATAACTGACTGATGAGCACATCTGCTACTCACTGGGCAAATAACAGAGCCGATAGTAAATGTGTCTGATCTGTGGCTCACATCCCTAAGCCTTGGTTAGCTGCCATAGGAAAGTGTTTGGGGAAGGTTTTTAGGAGGTGATTGACTCATCTAGTTTTTTATTTGAGGGAGGCAATGCTGAGAGTAGGTACGTGAGGGTGGATTTGGTAAGTGTTTAAGTCATGATTTTATTATTTCCACTACCCAGCCTGAAATTTTTTTCAGTAAGTCTGCCAAGTGAGTGAGTGTTCAACATTTCAGTTCTATTACCAATGGGATTATTGGAATTGGAAGACAACTATAAATTTTTCTCTATTTTAAGTCATTTTGGATTTATGACAGTGTTAACTAGAAACAGAAGAGGATTGTTCAGGCTGATCTTTTGTATCATAGTAACACTTAAGCTAAAGGGGATTATAAGCAGTTTTGCAGTATGCCTTGTTCTAATACAAATGGTTCAACCTGAAAAGGCATTACCAGTAATAAATCTAAGAAACATAGAAAAAACATCATTTAATTATACAGTTGACCTTTAAACAATGCAGGATTCAGGTGCACTGTGCCACTGAAAATCCATATACAACTTTGAACTCCTAAAACCTACTGTTGATGAGAGAAGCCTTTCTGATAACATGTGTATGTTATATGCATTATATACTGAATTCTTACAATAAACTTAAGAAAATGTTTTTTCAAATTGTTGCAAATCTAAAAAAGATTTTCCAATTATTTATTGAAAAAAGTCCACATATAAGTGGACCTGTGCAGTTCAAACCCATGTTGTTCAAGGGTCAGCTGTACTCCAGTTACATCTCTGGTATCTGAAGTCTCCCATACATAACCAATTACTTAAAAGACAATATATTTTCATTTCCCTCTGTAAAAGAAATGCCCAGTTGAAAAATAAGCACTATTGCAGGTCACCATGCCAAACTAACTGGGAAATACAAGTATAAGACTTTCCCTGCATTTAAAGATTTTCAAACTTCTGTGTGCATACGTAGAGAGCACTGCTTTAGGGGAATAAGAAAGGGGAAAACAAAGCACTTAAACCCTCTCTAGCCATTCTTCAGAGGCCTTCTGGTAGGGAAGGCTGGGCTAATTATAATTAGCAAGACTTTACTCTTAGATTTTTTTTAGTTTCCCTAAAAACCAAAGATCTCTTTAGTCACCTACCACAAAATGGTAACTAAGCAAGACAGAGCCCATAGAAATAAGAAATGTCAAGTGATTTTTTTTTAAACAAAGCCTAACCCAAAATGTTGGATTTCACAAGTCAAACTTGAAGCAGATTTATGTATTGTTGCCAGTTAAGCTTCTGCCATTTTAGTAATCTCTCAATCAGTTTATTAGGGGCAGAGGGTGAAGTGGGACAGTGGATCAAGACCACAATTATGAGTCTCACTCTAGCTTGAAACTATCAGGAAATGTGCTCTGGTCCAGTGCTAACTTTGAAAAGCAAATTAGTCCCCACTTCCCCAAGTGGGAGTATCTTCAGTTTTTCATGGTAAATCACAATGTATAGTATCTAATCTGGGAATCTTAAAAACAGCCGTAGGGAAAACAATTGGCCAGATTGTAAAGTGAATTGGGCTCCAAATAGTATTCTCTATTATTTTAAGCTTCAAACATTGCTCTATAGACCTAGACTAGAATCTTCTGCAATTTTATGGTTTGTATGAAGGTATGCTGATAAATGTGTAGTTGAGGAAAAAGATGTTTATTTT